TCAGTGGCAGAGCACCTGCCTTGCACATGTGAGGCACTGGGTTCAATCCTCAGCATCACATAAAAATAAATAAACAAAATAAAGATATTGTGTTCATCTATAACTAAAAAATATTTTTTAAAAAATTGGAGGTGGGAGCAGGTCATCTGCATTCTTTTTTCATGCATTTGTTCATCTTCTACCCTTTAAATAAAACTGTTCTGATACAAATGATCGATGACCCCTTAGCTGTGAAGTCTAACACTTGTTAGGCACTGAGTTACAACTGACATACAATAAACTGTAAATATCTAAAACTGGTCAATATGAAAAATTTTAGCATAGCGGCTCAGGAGGTTGAGGCAGGAGGATAAGTTCAAGGCCAGCCTCAGCAACTTAGCAAGGCTCTAAAAAACTTAGTGAGATCTTGTCTCAAAATAAACAAATATTCCCTGAAACCATCAACACAATCAAGATAAGTGAACATATAATCCTCTCTTTAAAACAAACAATGATCTATATTATTTGCATTTTCTAGAATTTCATATAAATAGAATTTTACAGAATATATGCTTTTGGTTTGGCTTTTTCAGCTAAATTAAGACTCAGCCATGTTGTCAGGTGTATTGGTAGTTTTTTCTTTTATTTTCATTTACAATGTTGGGAAATGAACCCGGGACCTTGAATATGTTGGACAAGTGCTCTACCACCAGCCCTAGTTCATTCCTTCTTATTCTACTATATGGCTATATCATAATTTGTTTATTCATTCTTATAGATGGACATTTGAATTATTTCTAGTTTTTGGCTGAACACAGCTGCCATGAAACATTCATGTGTAAGTCTTTCTATAGATACAGATTTCATCTATAGCTTTATTCCTCCTCCCTCCCCAAGCCACCACCAATACTGAGAAATGAACCCAGGAGTCCTCTTCACTGAGTTATACCCTCAGCCCTACATATTTTCAGACAGGGTCTTATTAAGTTGCCCAAAATGACCTTCATCTTGGGTAACTTAATAATGCCATTCTCTTACCTTGGCTTCTGAGTCACTGGGGTTACAGGTGTGCACCACTATACCTGACTATACTTATAGCTTTACTTACATACCTAGAAGTTTCAACGCTGCTTCATTAGATATCAACAGCCAATTACCAGTTAGAAAAGTACAGCTGGATAACCCAAAGGGACTTTTAAATCAACATGTTCAAAAATCATTTTATGCCACTCTTCTCTCCAAAGTCCTCTACAATTCTCTATCCAGATCAAAGGCACTCAATTCAGAAACAACTCTTCCTGTTTCCTTAATTTCCCCCATCAGATACTAGACCCCATCAATACTGCCTTTTAAACATCTCTCAACAAAATAGAATCTATCACATTTCCATTCTAGTTCAAATGTAGCCTTAATTCAAATGTATATCATCTCTTATTTGGACTAACAAACTAGCTTTCTAACTTTTCTCCTTGATTCAAGTCTCATTCTTTTCCAACCCATTTTCTTTTCTTTTTTTTTTATTTTTTAAATGTTAATGAACTTTTATTTTATTCATTTATTTATATGTGGAGCTGAATTGAACCCAGTGCCTCACACATGCTAGGCAAGCACTCTACCACTGAGCCACAACCGCAGCCCTCCAGCCCATTGTCTATTATGTGTGAAAGGGAATTTTCTAAAATTCAAATTTGGTATTACTTTTCTATTTAAAACTTCTCAGTAGCCAAGTGTGCCACCAGTTCTGTTGTAATGCTAGCAACTTCTGGAGGCAGAGGCAGGAGGATCACAAGTTTGAGGCTAGCCTGGGTAATTTAGAAAGGACCGATTAAAAGTGCTGGGGATTAGCTCATGGAATTCACCTAAGGATTCAATTCCCAGTACAAAAAAGAAATAAGTCCTACCACTAAACAAACAAATGACAATAATCCTCCTATGGCTTCTATCTCTTCAAACTCCAACTTAACAAAAAAGTGTATAACCAATTCTCTCTCCAGACTCACCTCATCATGTTCTAACTTAGTCTTTCTGATTATGTTGTTTACCTCAATATCCTTAGTGCCAAAGGAAATAGTCTGAGGTAGGCATGATATATCTGTGGGATAAGACAGGACTTAAGCTGATAGATGGAAAGAGATACAGTGGGACATTCTGAACATTTCAGGAAAAGTGGCAGTACTATCTGGCTAAATCATAAAGAACAGGAAAGATTATGGGAGGGAATCCAGTCAGAAGATCAGAATGAAGCCAGATCATAAATCACCAACAATTCCATGCTAAAAAACTGCACTTTATCCTACATTAAGCTCAAAAGACATCAAAGGTTCTGAACAAGAGTGTGACATGTTCAGAACTATCCTATAATTTCTGAATTTTGGAAAATAGATAAAGGGCAAGTGAGGAGGCAGTGAACTAAGAGGCTATCACATTAATCTAGGAAAGGAGGTTCAATTAGAGCAGTTAGAGGAAGGAATAGAACAATATCAAAGGGGAAAAAACATACAACCTTAGTCCGAATGTGGTCAGTAATGCACAGAGAAAAGTCAGAGATTACTTCAAAGTCTTGAACCAGTCAAATAAAACACTAAAGCTATTAATCAAAAAAGAAATTTAAAAACTGGCAGATGGAGGAGAAGGTGATAGTTTCAGTTTGGGTATTCCCTGACTCGGTTTATTAAAATTGAATGCCTAACAGATGTCAGGCAGTGTATGTAAGGGGAATAAAATGAGGATACGATATCATCCCTGTTCTCTGAAAGCATTCAATACAGTTGGGGCAAGGGGGACACATAGTAAATTGGAACCAAAATTCACTGCTAAGAGTTAGGATGGGGGCTAAAACAAAACAAAGGAGTAACATCCAATTCAGCCCTGGGGATTTAAGAAAGCTATAGGGTTGAGTCCCAGAGGATGAGAAATGTCAAGTCCAGCATATCAGGACATCCCAGGTGAAGGAAACAGCCTATCCAGAGACCTCAGGTGAGAGAACACAAATGGGGCACAGTAGTCTAATAGTCTGAAGGAAGAGTTCAAGATATGGACATATCCACATGAAATGTCCAGCAGGTATGTGAAAAAATGCAGCTTTTGAGCTACATATTTGACCAAGAAATATATTTTTAACTTTGTCTTTGATATCTCAGAACTGTTGCCAGTGGACATTTAAATTACTGGAAGAATCTTACATATCAAGTAGATGGTGTACATTTCCTCTCCTCCCATTAATTCTTCAATGGCACTCTGCTTAAAGTAAAAACTTGGGTTATGTAAATAAGCAAACATCAAACACCACAAGTAGGAATGTGGAAAACTGGAATCCATGTCCTGTCTAAACAGGGAAAACATACTCAACTCCAGCAGTTTATACTGCCTTGCTAGACTGGGGACTCTAAGTGGAGAGATATTCCTATTCAAAAAAACTGAAAATTGAGATTTTGTGTAGTATTCCCATTTTTAAATATTGGCAAATAATTACATTTAAAAATAAAACAACATTGTGCCAGTAAAATAAAATGTATCTATGGACAGATTTAACAAGGGCCACCTATGTAGCAATTAGACCAGGTCTGCTTAGCCCCTACAGTGCTCTTTCCATTCCTACAAAGATCCTCATCTTGTATCTTGGTGATTCCCTCAAGATAGGAGCTGCTTGCTTCCAACAAAATGGCCCCAAACTGGTAATGCTTTAGAGGTTTTGTTTTAAACACATCTTGAAACAAATTTTCATTGTCCCCTTACCCTGTCAGGATACCAGCTTCTAGAGTCACTGACACATGTCTCCCCTTCTATTACAAGCTAATAAGTTTTCAGGTAAAGCAAAAGTAAATAGAATAAAACCTGATGGAATGCTTAATGAATCAAATATAAGATATATAACATCTCTTTGATTTTCTTAGAAATTATCACAGAGATGTTTGCAACTAGTGAAACACTTGAGAGGGAAAGTCATAACATAAATTTGAAAGAGCAAATTCTACTAACAAACCAAATAGTTTCCATTGTCATACATCAAGAGGGAGAGGGGGACAACAGGTCAAAAGGAAAGTAAAAGTTGCTAGCCTTGGAAAAATATCATACCTTTTAAGATATTTATGGTAAAGTATAAATGTTCTGCATCAAAGGTACACCATTATCTCAATTCTCAGGAGGAGCAAAATGATATTTTAACTAGAGAGCCTGACCATTCTTTGAGCAAAAAGAAGAAACAATATAAAAACAATGTCTATTGAAAAGGTAAATGAAGAAAAGGAAACAAAAATAATAATCTGTTTTTAAATTCATTCAAACACACCGATTTCAGATGTTTTAATACTGTATTTACTGTCACAATACTGCTTTAGAAGTTTTTACACTTGCAACGTAACTTTACTTAACAAAGAGGCAAGCTGAAAGTAACATACATAGGTTAAAAATTCTTAATAAACCAAATGACCATACTAAGATTCTCAAACCACCCAAACCCCCGCAAAATCTGAAAATAGTGGCAAGGGCAACAGCCCCTGTAATGGGGGAGCGGGGGTGTCAGCAGACTGTAGAGTTATTACTGAGGACGAGCAGAGCAAAGCAAAGCAGGCCTCGTTCTCGTTGGCAGGCAAGCTCGCAATTACTTAGAGCAAGCATTATGACCAGAGCATTCTTGAGCCAGTAAAACGAGAGTACTGGACACCTAAAACCGGAGGCTGACAGCAGCTCTGCCATAAGACCCAGAAGGCGGAAAAGTGTCCTGCTTTGACCTCCAATGAAAACTGAAGCTCCTCCAATTGTTGTCTGAATTAAGGGGCAAGGCAACGGAGATTGGATTATTCGGACAAACTGGCTTCCTGCGGCCTTCCCACTCATCGGGTGAATGTCAACACCGAGAGCCAACCTAGAGTAGGGAAACCTAGTGTGCGCGGTCCTTCCAGGAGAGATGATGAGACAGGGAAGAAAGACTGCCCTGTGCGCCCCGCCTCCCTAGCCCTCGCCCAGCCTGGCGCCCGCGCTGGGGGCTGCAGCCGGGAAGCGGGGTTCCGCGCGCTCCTCACCTTTTTCAGCGCAGGCACCAGCAGCCCCCGCCACTTGGGCGCGTTCTCCTCGCTGAAAAACTCGTAGGGCAGCTGCTGCGCCTGCATGGTGCCCCCAGGGCGCCTCTGGGCGGGGAGAGGGGCGGCTGCGGCGGCGGCCGGGCCGGGGAGCCGCGAGAGGGCGAGCTCGCAGCGCGGAATAGGGCCGGGGCTCCTCCGGACGGCCCGGCCCCCTCCCGGCGCCGCGCGGCCGGGCTAGCCCTGGCGAGGCGGCTGGGGGGCGAGGCCCGCACCCGGCCACCCACCCGACACCAGCACCAGCCGCGGAGAGCGAAAGCAGCCCGCCGGCGGCGGCGGCATCCCGCACCACCGCCCCGGGGCCAGGCCCCCCGCCCCTCCCCGGCCCGCCGGCGCCGCCCCGGGCTGCCCTCCGCCGCGGACGCCGCCCGCCTGCCGGGGCCGCGCTCCCGGGCCCGGCCTGGCCCGCCGAGGAGCGGGCGGCTGGGGGAGGGCGTGTGGAGGGACGCTCCGACCGGGGCGCCCGCTCTGCCCAGCAGACTCCCGAACGCCAGACCCTCCCGGCGCGGCGGGGCTGCGGCTGGGGTCTAGCGGGGGAGGGGACGAGCCCGAGGTCGTTGTTGGGGAATCTGGCTGCCCCGAGCGGCCGCCGCCGACGCCGGTGTAGCGCTGGAGCTTCCTACTAGAACACTGAACCTGCTCACTACTGAGCATGCGCCGCCGGGCTGGGCCGGTTCGCTCCGGGTTTTCCGGCTCCCGGTGGAGGAGGAGGGACGCGCGAGAAAGGGAGGGCGCCCAGCCGGGCAGTGGCTGCGCTCCCCGGGCTGCAGGGGAGGGGCGAAAGGATCCTTGACGGCGAAGCCGGGCCGAGGGCGGCCCGCGGGGGATGGGGATGTGAGAGCTAAGGCAAAACGTCCCCCATTGTATGGTCCGGCCTCGTCGAATCCCATCCCACTCCTGAAGGCGCGGGGCCTTTCGTTTCGGAGAAGGCCATGTGTGTGTGTACTTTGTTCCCGAGCATGAAGATAAGGACTGCCCAGAACAAGCAATGTATAGTAAACAGACTGCACAAAAGATAGGTTCCCTCTCACGAAAGCTACTGCTCAATATTTACCGGGTAGTGTAAGTGATTGCAGTGTTTTCAATTGGTCTTACCATATCATCGAGAATAAATGTACGTGTAGTATTGATTTTGTGATTAGACTCGATCTGTTCAAACCCACTTCAAATGTGAACTCCAATAAGCACTTACTTCCAATGGAGGTTGAGACCTCTTTTACAGTTCCAGATCCCAGAGCATTTTACTTATGCCCCCCTCAGGATACACACATGCACACCTCCCGCCGGCCCCCCTCCTCCTCTTGGAACTAGATGATAAGCTTCTGGGAGGCATATTTTTCCATCAACGGCTCTACCCAGGATAGGCACTTAGTGCTTATGAAATGCTAAAGAAAGAGCATCTATACATTGTCCTTCCATCCCAGGGATGCAGATGTTTGTTAATAATAGTGGTACTGTGTGGCACAGTGCGGCAACCTTAACACCTCACAGTTTATCATTAAACACTTTCTGAAAATCATCTCATTTAATCATAATTACCTATTGTTTTCACTTCACAGGTGAGAACTAGTCTAGGTTAAAGTTGACACTGTGTTCTGCTATTCTGGAGAACAGTAACAAGGATAACATAGATGAGAAATGTTTAAGCCATAGTTATTACTCTTTACTCTGAGAATCTGTATAAAGTCTTAGATTCTTTCATTTTAAAATGTGCACACAATTTACATTTTTAAATTCCCCACACTTTTAAAGTGTTCACAAATCCTCTGGTTAAGACAGTAGAGGAACCATAGCTTGGAGGGGTGTTGGCAAATGAAAGGGGGGTTCAAAGAACATGTCAGTCATATTCAAATGTTTAAAGAGCTGTGATATGGTTTGTGTGGTGCTACATGACTGACCCAAGATCAGTTCTCTGTGGGAAACTATTCCTTGGCTTCACATTTCTCTTTAAACACATTTCAAACTTCTTACCATAGCATCTGGCTCCTATTTACATTCTCAACGTTTTCTCACCATTCTAAACCTTGGCTCTCCACTCTCCAGTTACCCTGGCCTGGTATTCCTAGAAAACACTAATCTCTTTCCTGTTTCAAAGGACTGGAGTTTCTCTCTGGAATTCCTAGTTATTCACTTTGCTGGTTATAAACATCACGCCCTCCCTCTGATCGGTCCAAGTAGTTCCCATCTATATGTTTCTACCATAAGCCTTGCATATTTCCCTGCTAGCACAGGCCTCTCTATTTTTGTCTTTGGCCCCCCCTCGCACTAAAACGTAAACTCCTAGAGAACAGTGTCTTGTTCATCATGGTATCCCCAAGACCTACGGTGCCTGCACAATCGATGGTAACATATATTTCCGAAAGAATGAAAGTTGCATGGACGAAACTTTCAGAGACTCTATCATCAAACTTATCCCCCCCAAAATCACGCAATCTTCGAGGGTGTGCAAGTAAAAACTACTTTCACTCACTCCGGGACGTTAGGAGCGTTCAGTGGTTGGAATTGTTAATCTACAATCTCCCCTTCAATTAGGAAACCTGTATTAATTGCCGAGGGAATCAAGTCCTAGAAACATGAAGTACAGAACGGGCTGGTCACACTTAACGGCCGAAGCAAGTTTTCACTACTAGGGAACTCCGGGAAGCAAAGAGAGCAAGCGCTGGAGGAAAGTTACAGCGAAGACTCCAAGCTTCTCAGCCCAGTAATCTAGGGGGAGTGTCGGGGCTGGCACAGCTAAGGTCACGGAGCACTCAAGCCCCTCTCAACTGCTTGCCTATATCTCTTGGGACAAAACAGTACTCCTATCGGCACGCAACAAGAGAAGACTGCCACGCCAGACTCAGAAGCTTGTGAGTTTAGATGCAAAACTCCCCGGGTCCGTTCAACTTGAACCGCGGATTGAGGTCCCGTCGCGCATGCGCAGATACTTCAATTTTGACGCCCCTCCTCAGATCTAACGAGCCTCGCGCCCTAGCGGACGTGACGCACGGGGGCGCGTCCAGACGCTGTAGCCGAAGCCCGAGGCGGGGCGCGTCCAGGCTGGGTAGCCGAGTTCCGAGTGCGTCGGAACTGGGGCGGCGAGGGAGGGGGCAGGGAGGACGTTCAGCCCTTAGGTGGGCCCTCTGCAGGTGGAAGTGAAGCGCTCGTGCTTTTCTTGGTGTCGCTGGCCAGGACTGTGACGCCTGATTCCGCTGCCTCCCCGCTGTCAGAATTATCTACCTGAAGCAAACTTTTGTTCAAAAGCTTCCACTGGAGCCCCAGGATAAAGTCCAGAGTCCTTAACCTGATACTCATGGCCTTGCACAATCAAGCCACTGCTCTTTCCTGCGAACTCTCCCACTCAAAATGAACTTACCGTGCCTCCTACAAACCCATCACTTGAATGTTTCCCGTATGTGCTGTTCTGTGTGCCTGGAAGGCCCATAACCTTTTTCTCCAATTCCAGCAACACAGCCCCAACCCAGAACCCAGGTTCTTGCTCTTGGTGGAACTGGCACCCATGCTGCGGGCTCTCAGCTCCAGTGCCACCTTCTCTTTGAACTCCTTCCAAGCTTTCATGCAGGATTCCTTCCTTAGGATTTTAGGGCCTGACAGGCATCACCAACAACTTTCAACCATTAGCCAAGTTAATGTATTCCCTCCTCTACGGCAATATCCACCCTTCATTCTTTTCCTTCATTTAGATCTCTACCTTCAATTCCAGTTGTCCAAATACAATAGCATGTCCCCAGAATATTCATGAGATAAAATAGTGGCTGAGAAAAACGGCTGAATGCCAACCTTTTATTTACCTTTAGCTGATACTTGAGTCTCTTACCCTCGTGCCTCCTTTACTCCCCTGTCCCTCACGAAGATAGTACGAAGCAGGGTAGGTACAATTGGGAGAGATGATCAAGGGATCTTTAAGATACATGGAACTATTCTGTGCACATCTTCTTCAGGATCCCTACAGAGTCCAGCTTTTTGCAAAAGCCTCTCCAACTGATTGAAAGTGTAATAAATTCTCAAAAGGCAACTTTTATTCCCTAGATGTTTCTTCATTAAATGTGATAAACTAAATCTAAAAAGTACATGGAAGAGCATGAAGCTAATTTGCTAATTGCCATTTAAAACGACATGGTAGGAGAATTTGACATAACAGATATGAATATTGATTGCATAGCTAGAGAAATTAAAACAATATGGTGGGCTGGGGATGTAACTCAGTGCTAGAGTGCTTACCTAGTATGCACAAGGTCCTGAATTCAATCCCCAGCATTACAAAACGATGTGGCATCAACACAGGAACTGATAAATAAACCAGTGGATCACTAGTGAGCCAAATATACAGAAACCTCTGATTCATTTATTTTTTTTTTGGGGGGGGGGGCTTTCTTCTTTTTTATTTTTTTCAGTACTGGGGATTGAAACCAAGGATATGTTACCAATGACCTACATCCCCTACACCCCCCTTTTCTTTTTGAAACAGGGTCTTACTAAGTTACTGAGGATCTCAATCAGCAAGTGCAACCAAGCTCAGCTAGAAACCTGATTTATGGCAGAGGAGATGTAGCCAATGACTTGGGAAAGGATATACTGTTCATAGACAATTGATAAATACATATAGAAAAAGATGAAATAACATCCTTAACTCCCACCCTACACAAAACAATCCCTTTGGATTAAAGGTTTTAAATGCAAAAGACAAAATTATAAAACTATGAGAAAGAAATAAAGAATACCTTTATGAGCCCAAAGTAGAAAAGTGAAAGGATAAGACAAAATAAGAGCAAGTCATTGCAACTCACATAACCAAAACAGAATTAATATAGAGAATAGGTAGTTTACTTGGAGAAAATGATGATTAGGAATTTATCTCAATAATCAAGGTATTATTCGAAGTGAAATAAGCCAGTCCCCAAAAGCCAAAGGTCAAATGTCTTAGCAGATATATGGAAACTAACCCACAGTGTGGGGAGGGGGTAGAAATTCAATGGATTAGACCAAAGGGAATGAAGGGATGGGAAGGAGAATAGGAAAAGATATATATATATCTCACAATGAATCCCACCATGGTGTACATCCACAAGAATGGGATCCTAAATAGAATAAGATACATTCCATGCTGTATAATTATATCAAAATGGATTCTACTGTCATGCATAACCTAAAAAGAACCAATTAAAAAAGACCAGGAAAATGCAAGCCAAAATAATAATATTAATAATCAGGGGAATGCAATGAAGTCAGACTTGATGGCACACCCTTGTAATCCCAGATACTCAGGAGACAGCATTGGAGGATCACTCCAGACCAGGAGTTCAAGACAAACCTGGGCAA